TCCACCATAAAGATCATTCAGTGTCACGGCCTCCAGAACAACAAATGAGTCTGGATCAAGGCTGCGTTAGGCCGGTGTGAGAGAGTCACCTTCAGCAGGTACAGGGTGTCCCTCTTATAGATTTCTGCATGGTCTTCCCTGTGTGTCGCATGTACAGGACTCTGATCTCCTAAAACCCAGTTTCTGGCTCACCTGAAATGAAGAGGTCCATCCAGGCCTTCTGGTGATCCGCACCAGCTCGTCCACGCTGGCCCTCAGCAGCTCCCCCAGCTCCTTCTTGGCTCCGTCTCTGAGGCTGCTGAAAGTCTCCTCCAGCTTGGAGACTCGATGGCTCCGAGGTCCCACCACGGACAGGATGTGTCTGGTGCTTGACTTAGCAGGGACCTGGCTCCTGCTGCCCAGCTTCTTGGTGACCACCACCACCAGCACCATGCGGTTATTCTCCACAGGGACCCTGCTCGAGCACAGAACCACGTCCCGGTCCTCCAGCTTCTCCACGATGGTGGAACTTGCTGCCGAAGGACAGGTTGTCAGAGGAGAGTCCAGGGAGGCGGGCCTGTCGGACGGGTTGTTGATTGGACCCGCTGCAGGTACACGTTGGGTCTGCTCCTGTGAGCGATGAACTCCTCTCTGATGGTGACACAGTCCCGGGTGGACTGCAGACCTGCAGGGAGGCGCAGCGAACCGACAGCACGGCCCCTTCCTGAACCACAACATGGCAGCCTGAGCTCGACTCGCTTCCTCCCTCCAGGACTCCGACCCTCGGAGATTATTCAGTCTGGTGGACCGGAGCCGACCCGGGCTGCTAGAGGACGCCACACAGTTTGTTCGCGTCAATGTCGATTAGAATGTGTCCGTTCCCCGAGACGAACGGGGATCCACCTGCTCCTGGGGCGTGCTTGTAGATCCCCTCTCCTCGTCCACCAGCGACCTCCACCTGTGGATCTCAGCCAGCAGGCACTGTCCGGCCGCCCGCCGGGCATGGCCGACGCCGAACAGCCTCCACCTGCGCTCCGCTCCCAAGTACCAGTAGAAGATGAGAAGACCAGGAGCCCGATCAGATCCGCCTGGCCCAGCTGCTGGACAACAAGCCCGGGAGCCCCTTCAGCCGCTGCTGGAGCCACATCCTTTCAGAGCCCGCCTAAGTCCGCGTCCAAGTCTGCCCGGGGTCAGGGGAACTTTTCAGGCTGTCACACCTGAAATGGTCCCGGGACCCAGCTGACAAACTGGCCCCGCTAGCTTCTGGCTAACTTAGCTTAGCTCCGGAGCTAGCGCTGCGGACGGAAGCTGTCGGAACCTGTAGTAACGTTAGTTTCTATCATCGTGGTTCCGGTCCGGTCCCTCAGGTGAGCTCTCCTGTCTCAGGGCATGTCGGGGTTCGTTTGTCTCCAGGTTAAAACACACCATCTTCTTCTCTAAGAACTCCGCAGCTGCTGTTGACTTCACACTTCTGGTTTGTCACAACTGTCGTAAAGTGAAACGACACACACCAACCGGCAATGTCGCAAATATACGACGCAGAAAAGCAGAAATGAAAACAACGTTGGCGAATAATGTGTAAAATATATAGATTTAAATACTTTCAATTATTAAATCACAAAGAAAAACATTTTTTTATTTTTTTTTTTAACAAATTAAAAATATACCTATAAACTTTTATTTTATTTTATTTGAAATGTGGACCGCATCAACGGCATCAAAGTGATTCAATAAAACTTTTTTTTTAAAACATTTACAAAAAGGAAAATTAAATATACAAAAAAAGCAGAATAAACCCTTTTGGCAGATGTTTTTTCAGTCACAGAACAAAATGTACAATAAATGTATAATTAAAATCTTGATAAAAGTATTTCTAACATCTTATTTAGTTGTTTTACTTGTCTGGTTTTCTGAAAATACCTAAAACAGGCTTTAATTGCTGTAAGAATTCCTCCTGCTCATAGTTCCAGTGTAAAGATGGGGGACAAAATCCACCATCCTCGTTTTAAAGTGTATCTGAAGCTGAAATGAGGCTTCAGCAGTCTGACTTAGACAGAACAAGTGGATATCTTCCAAAGTTACAACCTCTTAAGCACCAAATACATTCTCAGTGATAGTGACCCTCCACCAGAGATGGGCAACGATACAGTAACTTGTATATTCTTACAAAATACTCTTTAAATAAATGTATAAAATAAAATACTGCTGCCAGAAAAGGTATCAAGATAAAATACATCTATTTGGTATTTCAAAATACAGGAACATACATATGTAATAGTGGATATTCTGAATCTGTACAAAATGCCAGAATATTCAATGTTTATAATAAACACAAGGCTGTTTGAACCCCAGTGGAAGCAAGACAACAAAGCTGAATATTACTGTTTCTAAGCAAACTGTAATACAAAAATAATACTGAAACTAAACTCTTGTAAAGTCTGTAGAAACTTGCTTTCTGTCCAATGCAAACACAAGGCAGTTCTGACCCAAACAATACCACTAGCAGCCTATTTAGTTTCCTTTAAGAACAACAAACTTGAAATATGTCAAATACCAAATACTAGAAAGTATTTCAGATACGTAGTAAAACTGTCCATCACTGCAGCTCAGCAGGGAAAGAGGACAGAGCAGGAGTAGTACTGAACAGACTAGAGGATATCTGCTGATTGTCTGACTCTACTCTGAAAAAACATCCAAACTGTGTAAGCTATAGATGGCGGGTGAACAGAGCAGCCATCATTGTGTCTATTGATTTTATTTAATGTTAAAAGTGCAAGAACATTTACACTCAGCTGCCAGTTTGTACACCCAGGTGCACTCTTTCAGGATAGTTCTAATGTTCGGATTTAGTTTTAGAAAGTTGTTGATTCAGCTTCCTTGTGGAGATGCAGTTAGTGCTGGTGTTAAAAGGTATTTTTAATATTGACTCTATCCTAATCAGCAAGAATGAGGACACACTAAATCTCACATTCTCTTTTTCTTACAAGGTTTCTACCTTAGGATTCAAGGTCCCGTTCTAATCTCCATCTATACGCTTCCCCACAAACTCAAACATAATATTCAGTTCCACTGTTACGCCAATGACACAGCTCTATCTCCCAGTCAGACCTGCTGACCAAATAATTGTCATACAACAAACCATTGTCTTTGAAGAATTTATTAATAAAAAGAAATGACAGAGAAGTACTCTAACAAGCTGGTCCAGAGACCTGCCGAGCGCAGCTTCGAGTGTCTGGCCCAGAGCAAAGAGATGCATAATCATAGGTTTCTATGTTTTGGAGGAACAGCAAGAAAGGAAAACATTAAAACAATCTCACAGCTCTGACCTAAACCCTACATATGAGAGATTACTATAATGAGTATAATGATTGGAAAAGGTTAAAGATAATATATATATATGTTATATTGTGTGTGTGTGTGTGTGTGTGTTTTTTAGATGTTTATGTTTTCAGCCACACGTAAAGAAAGTTGTTCAGGTTTGTTTTAATCATTTGAGAAATAAAGCTGAGGTTAAGTCTTTTATTTCAGCCACAGATCTGGAAAAACTTATCCAGGCTTTTATGTCCCGCACCTCGACTGCTGTAACTCAGTTGTACCTGTCTTAGTCAGAAACCAGTTCATCGCCTACAGTTAGTCCAGAAGGCTGCAGTTGTCAGCATCTTTCTTTAAGATTGATTTTAAAATAATAATCTAATTACTTTTAAGGCCAGACATGTGCTGGTCCTTCTCTACATCTCTGAGCTATGAGCCGGGACGCAGACTGAGATCCCATGGTAACTATTCCAAGGTAAATTTAAGGGGATAGGACCCTTGCTGTCTAGACCCCTAGAGTCTTGAACAGCCTATTATAAGTCAATTACAAACATGCTTTCACTGTGTGATGTGTAATTATTGTTTCCTTTGTTTGTATATTGACTTGTTTACAGTTTATATATTCATTGTTGTACTGATGTTTATTCAACTTGTTTATGTTTTCCATTGATTGAAGTAAAGCAGTTTGTGATTGGAAGGTGCTGAACAAATAATGCTATTATTTATTATTACTGTAATAAGCTATGTACATGTTACAATGACTGAATGAAAACAAAGACACACTTGTGCAGGGAGGCCAGGCTACGTGCAGGGGCTCATGTCCACAGAACAGCTGGCTCAGCCTTTTCTTTTTTTCACCCGGGTGGAGGTGGCGGCGCACATTCATGCAGTTTAACTCACCAGCCTCCAACATTACCACATCTGCATTATTAAAAACCAGCGCGCAGAAAAACTACAGCTTCACTGCGATTATCCTGCTGCCGACCTGCACACAGGTGGGCTGCCTACGGGGAGAGAGGGGGACTGAGGGTGAGACAGACTGAGGGTGGGGGGAGACAGAGAAGGACCATTCCGCCATTTCCGTCCCCTGGGTAATGTGCATAAAAATGCATGAAAATGAACTTTAAGAAATATACAGAGAAGTGGACAAAAGATCCAAATCAGCGACGAAGAAAACCAAGAACTCAATGGGAACTGTAATGAAAATTTCCCCAACTGCATTTTCCTTCTTATCTTTATTTATATCAACCGTTTTTTGTTTGTTTCCTTTTGTTTTGGTGCTGTGTACTGCCTTGTTAGCACGACTGAGTCCATGTACAAGTAAAAGATGGATAACAATTACAAATTTAAGAGGCAAAAAAATGAACTTCAAAACACATTTTATTATTAAACTATTATTATGAAGTATCCTTCACATTAAGCTAACTGCAAAAGCAAGATTAAAACAACAAATTAGCTAGAACACTGAAAAATAGCATTTGTTACCTGTCCCCACTCACTGAGCCTACGTGAACCATGAAATAAGATTCAAATCCTGCAGAAATGTGAGTGCTGAATCTTATATAGACCGAGAAACAGACTGGGAGAGAGCTTTTCTATACAGTCTGGGGGGGGGGGAGTGGGCGGTGCTGGCGGAGTCCCATGAAGTCCTCCTCCTTCCTCCTCGGGCTCAGTCGGCTCTCACCGTGAACACAGTGACTCGGGGAAGGATCTAACTTTAACTCTGCAAAATGAAACTTTCGTGGTCGCTTCTGTTCCCGGGACTTTTAGTCTGCGCACTTTTCCTCCTGACAAACTGTGAGGAGCAGCGGATCCCCGAAGGTGAGTGAGGGACGGAGCGTCTCTGCACAGCGTGTTATCTAACTCACACATGCTGGGACGTTAAATGGTAATAATGGCGTTAATAAAGTTCCACTGTCTCAGTATAGGAAAACCGCTAACTCGGATAAACAACCTGTGGTCTGAACCGTCCGGTAGGACTTGCCACCACAGTGAGAAACTGAAAATAACAGTCCAGTTAGAGAAGCTGAGATTTTCCAGACTTGGCTTGCTGCATGCCGAATACTCATTTACACCTCGCTAAAGACATCCACTACTCTATTCTGTAACTTGCACGTTTCTTTTCCCATTAAAACACGCTGCTAAGAAGAAATGCAGGAGTTTAACTTTAGGTTCTGTGCGGGAGAGGGGGAGCTGCACGTAGCTCGGTGCTCGGGAGGGCGCTGACGTGGACGGAGCTGCTCACACCGACATGTTAGCGGTGGATGGGCTGTAGGTGAGCTGCAGGGACGTGCAGAGAGGGGATGGTGTTCAGTCAAGTCTGGTATGGACCTATAAAGAGACTTTATGTCTGTCTGGACGAGTTTGAATATATATTTCTCCTCAGTTTGCTCACAGTCTCAAACATCCTCCCTAATAGAAGACTTCCTAAGAAAGAGTTTGTGGTTGGTGCAGGGTCCCTCAATAAGCTTCTAAAAAAGCCTGAAATGGGACAGGATGAAGAGGAAACTACAATAAAGACACTTGATACAGAAAACCCAGAAACCAGATTTATTGAAACCTGCCGAAACCGAGATTTATTTTATGGGAATAAGACTCTGGACTAAATGAATGGGGGCAGCTTTGACCTATTTTTCTTGAAATGCAACAATGAACAAGTCTGTAGTATCACAAGAGTAGATTGGCTCTGTGATAGAAGATAACACTGACTTATCAAAGAGCGAGAAGTGTGATGAGTTATTATGGCCAAAATATTGTATTATATAGTTTGTCCCAGCAGTTAATAACTTATTACAACACGGCAGTTATTACCAGCACAGGAAGAGCAAAAATATTTTTATTATTTTAGTAAATACTTCATGTGATGGTGCACGGTAATAGATGAAGAATAAAAGCTCATACTTTTACTTCACTGTTCGTCTCCCATTATGCACAATCGAGACAAACATCGCAGAAGCTGTCAGGTGTGGCAGAACTTCTTGCTTCACGCGAATGGAAGATCTATGGTGTCATCTTTCTGAATTCCTCTATGTCTGCCAGGGAAACTTCTAGTCATGACGGTTGCAACCAAGGAGACCGATGGCTTCAGGCGTTTCATGGGGTCAGCCAAACACTTTAACTACACTGTCAAGGTAGGAACCCCTGAGTTCCCCTCCTTCTGTCTGGCTACGAAAAGCTGGGTCCTACTTTTCCCTCTAATGCAGTCATAGTTCTTAATTATGTCACTGAAATAAGCCACAATAAACATAAGCATCTTTCAGGTCTTCAGACTGCAGTGACTGGATGTGAGTGTGTGTTTTAAGGTCCTAGGTCGGGGTCAGAAATGGAAAGGAGGCGACTACATGTCAGCCCCGGGAGGAGGTCAGAAAGTACGACTCCTTAAAGCGGCTCTGGAGGAGTTTAAGGACGAGGACCAAATCATCCTCTTTATTGACAGGTAGGGTGTCTTCAGATTCAAATCTGCTCCTGTCAAACGGTGTTTAAAGGAGTACATGTGTTTTTTAATTGGTTTCCATTCATGAACTTGTCAGTTTTGCCTTGAACAACTTTAACTTAAGTGTGGGGAAGAATACTCAAAAAACATACTCAGTGAATATGTTATATCTGATGTTTTGGTGGGTCAAATGTCTTCACCTCTGTAGTTGTTAGTATATCAGACAGACTGGTGCTTTATGGGAGTTTTAGTAAAAATGCCCTGAACATGCTGAAACAAACACACTGTTATGATTTGTGGTGTGGAGAAGGTTTTTGGACCCAAATGCAGGACGCTGAGTGGAGCAGGTACAGTTCAAAAAGGTTTATTAACAAACTTAAGGTGAGCACACTTACAATGAGTGGCTGAGTCCAGGAAATCCAAAATAAACACAGTCCAAGCAAACAAGGTAATCCAACTGAAAATCCAGAAACATAAGTAATCCAAAAACTGCAGAAACAACAGGGTACAGGCAGGGAATGAAGAGCTATAACCACAACATGAGACAGAGCATCTACACACTACAATGACCGGACAGATACTGAAGGGAAACAGCAAACATTTAACCAGGGAGTAACGAGACAGGCAGCCAGAGAGACAGCAGGGGAACATACATAACACAGGTTACTGGACACTAAACACAGGCCATATCAGAACAATATGTAACAGATCAGAATAACAACCTAAGTCAGACACAATCAGACAGATCACAAATAAACTACAAACAGGGAAAACAGACTGAAGCTAGGATTAAACATAAAGACATTAACTAAGTCACAGAACCGGGAACTAAGATAAGAGACAAAACAGATACTAAGTAAACGAGACCATGAGACTGAATAAAACAACAAGGCTACACAGAGAAACACAGAACCAAAACCAGACTTAAACAGGATGGGCAAAACAGTAGAACACCAGACATGGAACCAAAACAAGACCAGAATCCTTAACTCATAACACACTGAAATCCAGAGAGAGTGTGATGTTTTTAACACAACCACCAGCAACTTAGCTCTCCAAGAAAGCATGCTGGCATCGTATAAAGGCAACCCCTTCATTTGTTCTAACTGTGTCTCAGGCTTCACGCGCCAGTAAAGTTTTCTGTTTTCACTCCCTGTGTGACGCAGCTACGATGTGGTTTTCGCCTCGGGTCCCAAAGAGCTACTCAAGAAGTTCCAGCAGGCCAGACACAAGGTGGTGTTCTCCTCTGAAAGCCTGATCTGGCCTGACAGACACCTGGAGGACAAGCACCCTCACGTCAGGGAGGGCAACAGATTCCTGGGCTCAGGGGGTATGTGGGTCACACAGCTTTGTACCTGAATTAGTCCCGTCAGAATCAGAATCAGAGCTTTACTGCAAAGTAGTATTTACCACGTCGGAGGAATTTGCTTTAGTGATTAGGTGCTAGCATACAGCATAAATAAATAAATGTAAACACATATAAATGTGGAATTAACACATGTGCAAGTTATAAAAGAATAATAGATCTATGTGTACAAACAATGTGGATGTGAATGTGCATTACAAGACCAACCGAAGGCAGAGTTCAGCTGAAGGAACCGTCTGAGGAGTGATGTCTTTATGAGTGGGTCATTGTTGTGTTTGTTGTAATATGGACGGGGGCTACAGCACACAGGGTCCCCCTGGTAATGGTCTCACACTGTTCCACTGAGCTGCAGGTGGCGCTAAAGTGCTAGGAAACACAACAGTGTGCAAAGGCAGTGAAGAAGAAGCTGGTAAATATGCAGGATATACAGTCAGATAGTTACATTTCACTGTGTATTTAAGATAAATCTGAGGAAAGACTTGACCTCCAGGGTGCAGACACTCAGTGAGGAACTCCACACAAGGGCGTCACTTTGTGTTGAAAAGTGGTGTTTTGAAGAAATAGGAAATGCTGAAATAAATGAGCGGGAGTCTGCTAATCCTCCCCCAGAAAATTGGTGCATTAACACTTAATTTCCTGCATTCTGGAGACATTTCTGCTCCAGTTTACAGTGGAAATGTCTTTATATAAAGAGAAACAAAAAAATCAGCTGGCAGGTGAAATGATTAAATATAAAAATATAACAGAATATAATGCAGCAATAAGCTGCTTGTTTTTTTTTAGCTTAAGTAAGCACATTTGTTTCTTCTATAAATTGCACTGAATGTTTTCTTATTGTGCAAACTATTTTTCAGAACATTTTTAACAAATGATTTAGCCATGTCAAACTGCGTCTCCAGTGTAAAGAGTCCTATGACTTCACAGAGCGACTTTAACTGGAACACCGCCGTGAAAATCTTAGCGTCCAGTTCTCCAGCTGAAATCTCTGAGTTTGAGATATCTGGAAACACTGACGATGTTTAAATGAAGTAGCACACATATTTAGCCAGTTCATTTAACTACATATGGTATCATAAAATCTCACAAGTGACTTTACAAGACGACGTTCTGCTTACACAGAAACTGTGTTATACTTTAACAGCCTTGTTTTATACATGAATATGAAATGAAATTATTTGTTTCCTCCCCCAGGTCTGATGGGCTACCTCCCCAACATCAAGGCGATGGTTGCTGATTGGACTGGAGAAGATGGTGACAGCGATCAGCTGTTCTTCACCAAGATTTACATTGATCCAGTAAAACGAGTGAGATTTATTACGCTGCAGTGATCTCTTTAAGGATCTGTGCTTCATTAAATACTTTACTAAATAATTTTTAACAATGTTATATCATTTCTCTGGGATATTTTATTATGTACCATAAAAGTCCAGAAAAAAACAGCTTTTATTTTTTATTCGCATGGTTTAATATTATTATTTTAAATCTGCTTTGATGGAAACATGATTTCTTGGTACCTTCAGGGTAATGTACATGTTGAGAAACACTGCTTTTATTCTATTTCCTGTTACTTTATTGAGCTGCTGCCAGTGGTTTACAGATGTTTCATATTAAAGCCCTTCCAGTAGCTCAGTGGGCATTATCGCCCCTGTTCCTGGCAGGCTTTTAATTTGAAACATCTGCAGGAAGTGTTGAGTTTTATTGACGAAAGTTTTACAGTAAACAAACCAAAAAATGAAACAGCAGCGTACACGTGTTTGTTTAGCAGAGTGCTGAGAAACAACATTATACAGAGTTTACTGTGGGACATAAATGCAGCTTGTGTTGGTGTGTGTGTGTGCTGGTGTGTGTGTGTGTGCTGGTGTGTGTTGGTGTGTGTTGATGTGTTGGTGTGTGTTGGTGTGTGTTGGTGTGTTGGTGTGTGTTGGTGTGTGTTGGTGTGTTGGTGTGTGTTGGTGTGTGATGTGTTGGTGTGTGTGGTGTGTGTTGGTGTGTTGTGCTGGCTTTTTTTACCAGTTTGTGTGCTTCCGTGTTTCAGAAATCCATAAATATCACACTGGACAGCAAATGCAGATTGTTCCAGAACCTCCACGGAGCCCTCGGTGAGTACCTTCAGCCTCTGAGTCCAGCCACTGAAGTTTATGAAGCAGAGACACACACAGTAAGAAATAATAGGTTCATAAGGCTCAGAAGCTCTGGGAGTTTACACATTGTTCAGAATAAGTTTCTGATGTTTGGACCGAGAGGACAGCCAGCTCGGTGTCGATTCATTCTCTCCTTTAAATGTCACAGTAACTGCTGAAATCACTGCAGTGGTCCTTTGTGGCTCTGTTTTTAGAGCACTGGGTTTGAATCCCACTGAGGTCACATAAATCTGAACAAGCAAAACAACAACAACAATACATACATGTATATTAAACACATAGTGATAGTAAAAGCTATTTTAACAATAGAGAAATAAATCTTAAAGTTCTGCAGGTACTTTGTATGAACATGATGTGAAACATGTTCCAGATGTTTTGTTGTTGCTCAGTCAGTGTCAGATGTTTCTACAAGTCGTGTGCAGCCACATGAAGCGCCGCAGTTTAACCTGATCACAGTTTTCACAGTGAACTCGCTGTTTTTCAGCAGATGAATGAAGACAAAGTTCAGTGTGCTTCACTGGTTCTGTTCTGACAGTATGAAGCATTTGAAGTGAACGTTTGATTGTTGTGGTCAGTTTGAGTGAACACGGGCTCTCAGCGGCGGCGGCGGTGGTGTGATGAGAGTCCAGCTGGGCCGCACCGACACAATCTAACATTGTAATAAACAGAGCTTGGAGATCCACTGAAATGCAGCCTCGAAGGTCCAGAAAAAGATAATGTTTAAGTTCTTTCATGATATTATGATACAATATCTTCAACTCTATTCTGTATATTGCTGTTATCAGTGTTATTGGTAGTTTGGGTTTGGGATAGTGGTTTGGGTGTACAGTCCTGTAGACAGTCTCGTCGTCACAGCTCTCTCTCTGGCTCCTGGCTGTGTTTGTGTCTCTGTCTGATCAATAATCTGGTTAATGTACCGCTGATGCATCAGCACACTGAGGGGTCTCAGAGCCGAGGGGTCTCAGAGGTTTGCAGCTGCAGTGATTTGTGCACGTTTAGACGTGAGCTGAACTCTCAGCTGTGTTTTTCCCTCTGAGGAAGGAATTTCTGGCTCGTCTGCAAGGCGGTGTGACAGAGCTCACATAGACAACAGGAAGAGTCTTCCTGCCCCCACAGATCCTCTCTGTAAGCTTTTCTGTTAGATGCCCCCCCCCCCCCTCCAATTTGTCAAGTGTAGAAGAAGAATGAGAAGAAGAAGAAGTGAGAGTAGAAAGCTCTGGAAGTTAAGAGCCTGGTGTGAAAGTAGAAACATTTGTTAAATATTGACAGTAGCAGCACATGTTGGGAGGTCCAAACGTTTACACTACTGATCACTTTTTACTCAGTAAATCAATCTTTTTTGTGTGTAGCACTTTTCATACAACAGCAATGTAACTCGAAGTGCTTCCCACTGTAGAAACAAAGCCAAAAAAAAAAGACAATAATGTCACCTCCACACACACACACACACACACACACACACACACACACACACACACATATACAGATTTAAAGTCAAAGACAATAAAAACATGAGGTGAGGAAACTAAACTCAGAGGAAGAGGAAGGTATTAAAAGAAAAGTAAAACAAAAGATAAATATATATATATAATAATAAATAATAAAACAATGTATCAGTAAAACAGACTGAAATGTGATTACATAGATGAATAAATAAATGAATGAATTAACAGATTAATAAAATAAACACACACATTTATTAAGGACTAAACACCCAGTGAGCACGATCGTGGTAAAAGTAATGATGGTCTAACAACTAGATATGGACACGCCTTGAGTTCATGAACACGAGACACCTGATTTGATATTTTACTAAAATCTACTGTTAATCAAATGATTAGAAGCCACGTGACTCACTGTGAAGGCAGATTGAAGAATACCCGTTACCTGTGTGTGTGTGTGTTTCCAGACGAGGTGGTGCTGAAGTTTGAGGACGGACGTGTACGAGCGAGGAACGTGCTGTACGATACGCTGCCTGTCGTCATCCATGGGAACGGACCAACCAAGGTACGGACCTGTCAGAGCAAACCAACCAATAAGTGACATCCTTTCATCTGACACTGCACGGCGTATCACAGTGACATCACCAGACATAAATCTTGTGTTAGTGCAGAAAGGACAGACTTCCTCATGTCTCATGTCTTCTCAGCCACGTTCTTCTTCGTGAGCCGACTGAGTCGTGACTTGTTTGTCTTCCAGCTCCAGATCAACTACCTGGGTAACTACATCCCCAACACCTGGACGTTTGAGAGCGGCTGCACAGTATGTCACGAGGACCTCCGCCCGCTCACAGCTCTTAAGGTCTGATGACAGTTTAATCAATAACCGTCGATGTTGGTTCCTGAATAGGAGTAGTAAGGAAGTTCTCCTCCTGGATGCTTCTTTTCCAACAGGAGAGCGAGTACCCGCTGGTGCTGATCGGCATCTTCATCCAGCAGCCCACGCCCTTCGTCTCAGTGTTCTTTGAACGTCTGCTGAAGCTCCAGTATCCCAAGAACAGGCTCAAACTCTTCATTTACAACCAGGTAACAAACTGTAGAGGAATTTTAAAAAGGATGAATGGGAGAAGAGAAGGAAACCAGGCACATCTCATAGACATAATGCATCTCTAGCCCCTTACCCCGATCCTTACCTGATTCAGACCTGAAGCCTAAAACCAAGTCTTGACGCTCAATCAGCCCTTTAAACTAGTGGGCTCCAGCATTTTGGCCCCTATTCTTTAGACTCCAATGCTACGTCATATTGGAATCTATTACTGTCCATAAGTTGTACTCTAATCTGTGGAGCCAGTAAGTTCTTGTAAGACTCAAGATTCCCAGAGAACACTGATATCTGCTCGCCTGACGCCTGAGCTGCTATCTCTATCTGATCAGCCTAACTGTCGTCTCCCTAACAAGGACAGAGAAATAACTAGAGCTGGAAGATCAGTGAACACTTCAGCTAACTCTAAGCTACACCTCTTACCTTTCCGTTAAATCAAGCCCCCTAAGAATATCCTTTAACACACACACACAGTGATTTGATTTTCATGCAGACAGGAAGTGGCGTGACATTTCAGTATGCACTTTCACTAAAAACTTTTTTTTTTAAAGAAATTTGGCTGAAACTCAGTTCAGCTGACTGACTCCATGGCAACATAATTTATTTATTTCAGGTTTATTAAACAATACACACTAATAATACATAAATAAATGTACAGGTGGTAATATGTCACACCTAAAAAGGATTAAAATAGTACATGCAGATTAAGATACAATAAAAATGAAAAAACTGAACTAAAAATTGACCGAACCAACATAGAAACAAGAACAGTGGGTCAATATCAACATCAACGCCAGCACACACCTACACACACAAGCCGAACTGTCAGACCATATAATAAACATGGTACAATAACGACATACATTTTTGGACATGCACAAAAAACAATAGCGGTTTAACCTCTCTAAACAGAAATGAGCCAGATTACCTCATAGGCCACAGGCAGGACAGAAAAGACAAGATAGCAGCAAGATGTAGTGTCTAGATTTAATGTTGACAGTGCTGACGACCACTTGGCACAACCCAAAGCATGATGGGAACTGTAGTGCCAACACGCAGGCTAGTTTTGTCTGTAATTAAAGAAAACCTTTAGGAGCACGTTAACTTCTTTAGTTCTGTATTCTGACAGAACATCTGCACGGTTCTCACGTCTCTGTAACACTCACTATGAAAGTATGCAAACGAAAAAACACCTTCAGACCTCCCTCCAAAGCACATTTTCCTGGCGGTGAGTGCCGATCATTTCATTTGGACTGAATAAAATGATTGACTGTGCTGATTACAGTCCTGCGGATTTGTTTTCTTTTTTGAGCATTTGATTTATTGATTGCTGTCGGGACGTAAAGAGAATTTCAACAACGAAAACAAAAAATGCATCTGAAATAAATTGTCTACCCCTGCTTGAGTTTCGCTCCTGTATGCCTCCTGATCATGATCATGTTATTTGACCCCACGGACATCTCGACAATTGAGTCAAGACTGGTCAAGGTCCTGAGGTGTTTTCTGTTTCTGTCTGGGAAAGAAAGAAAGACAGGGAAATATCTCTCCCATAACTCTTTATCTCTAAACTCTCTCACACATTTAGGCTTCTCTAAGTGAACTCCTTTTGAGATCTAATGTAATATTTTTTCACTTCCATTCACTGAGCCTCCCCTGAAACAGGCCCACCTCCCACTTTGGGAATCTCTGCTGTAGTTAACCGTAATATCTGCAGTGACCCGGGTCTCTTTTCCCTGCAGGAAGTTCACCACGAGCCTCAGGTCAGCTCCTTCCTGAAGGATCATGGGAGCCTCTATCAGGATGTGAAGTTCGTCGGACCAGAGGAGCAGATGGACGGAACCGCCTCCAGAAACCTGGGCTTGTGAGTTTCCTGTGAGCCGTGTCTGTCTGCTGGAACAGAGCGTGTGCCTGACCTGTTCTTCACCGAGTGTCTCTGCTTCCTCTCAGTGACATGTGCCGGAAGGACGGGGCCTGTGAATATTTCTTCAGCGTGGACATCGAAGTGGTTTTACAGAACGAGAACACACTCAAAATTCTCATTGAACAAAACCTGCAAGTATTTTTATCATAAATGAATTATGATTAATAACCCTGTGAGGTGCTGGGACTGCTGCGTGTCTGTAGCCATATAAATATACTAACACTCCTTTATCTGCTCCTCAGTCCGGTTGTGGCACCGATGATAACTCGATCTGGTCGCCTGTGGAGCAACTTCTGGGGAGCCCTCAGTGCTGAGGGCTACTACGCCAGATCAGAGGACTACGTGGACATAGTTCAAGGACGCAGAGTGTACGTTGCTAATACGTCGGTACCGTAAGACTTCAGAGGGATGTTTAGCAGTTAAAGGCGAGACAGAGACGCAGCCGCCCACACAGCTTTACACTGGTGGGGTGCACTAGTGTCTTTTAACAGCGGTGATCATTAATTATCAGTTATTCCAGAACAAATAAAAGTAAAGAGACGTGGGGTGGGGTGGGGGCAGTCACTATAATCAGCACTCTGACTTTCTCTTCTCCAATTCTTGTGTTTTTGGCCACTAAGCTACTGTCAGTTAGATTCAACACTTCCTGTGTTTGTATCAAACTAAAAGCCCACCCACGAGGCACACAGTGAACGTCTGTGCAGGAAAGTAGAAGCAAATGGAAAAAATCAGTGAATAAAAACAGCATTTGTGTTTACAGGACTCTGATGTTGTTCAGTTCTAATCAGCAGCATCAGAAAAGGTGGAGCTTCTTAATAAATACGATGAAACGGGTGAGACTGGGAGTCCCGTCTCTGGTCCTGGCGTTGGTTTGTGTCTCAGACTGTGTTGTTCTGCAGGGGTGTGTGGAATGTCCCGTACGTGTCCAGCGTGTACCTGGTGAAGGCCGGCCTCCTGCGATCAGAGCTCACGGACTACGAGCTTTTTACCTCTCACCTATTAGACCCCGACATGGCTTTCTGCTTCAGCCTTCGCAGCAAGGTCAGTATGAGACAACAGATAAGGGACAGCTGTTAGAAGCCACAGCATGTAAAGGAGAATTTCACTCAGTTTTGACTCAATCCTGCTGGAACTTTCCAGCCTAATGAAAAATGAAGTTTCTAATAATATGTGACCTGTGGTAAATCTTTTCTCGCAGGGGATCTTCATGCACGTCACAAACATGCACACCTTCGGTCGTATCCTGTCAACAGAAAACTATCAGAGCGGCCATCTTCATAATGACCTGTGGCAGATCTTTGAAAACCCAGTGGTGAGATATCAGTATCATATCAACATCAACTTGATATTAGTAGCTGTTGTAGTGATAGTGGTGGTGGTAGGTTATAATAAAATGTTAGTGAAAGCAGAAGTGTTTGTATAAAGAAGCTGGAGAGGCTGCAGTGAGACCTCACTGATCTAAAATAAGCACTACAGTTTTGTTAACATACACACAAACATGTTAAAAAAATGTTGAAAAAGTATTTCCTTCAAAAAGGTTTTCAGACAGATCAGTTTTCTTATTTATTGTTTCAAACTTCTTGTATTCCACATCATGAAGCCTGGATCCCACCGGGTGTGGCGGTGTCATGTTCAGCTGTGATTGCTTGTGATTCCACCAGACGAGTTCCAGAAGCAGCTCTCCGCGAGTCTATTTTGCATAAGCTGCATCAAGTAGCACAAAGCAGATGAACCCAGCAGGAAGTCCGACACAGAATCTGCACAGAGAATCTGGTCAATTTTCAAAATAAAACACCCTGTGCAGAATCCTGATCGTGAATCAACAATAAACATAATTAAAACAGACACAAAAAGAAACCTTTTCACTAAGTAGCTTAATTAACAAAAGCACCATGAATGATCAGAATATCCAAGTCAGTAACGTCTGGCTTCGCTCCTGAAATCCTTCCAAGTGGGATTTGAATCCGCGCAGAGGACAGAACAAAACCGTGTCGCAACCGTGGCTGGTGGAATCCAGCTGTTAGTTTGCTCCGTGATGTACCTGTACATGGTTAGGAGAAAATTATTTGGAAGCTGAAACCAAGCCTGAGCACATGATTATGCACGAGTCTTACTCTAAATTCAGGTTAATTTCTCTTTGTGGCTTCATGCAGACCAGACCTAGAACATCATCATGTAACTGCAGAAGCTGCTGTGGAGGCAGAACAACAAAAACAAACATGCTGTGTGTGTGTGTGTTTCTTTCAGGACTGGCAGGAGCGCTACATTCATGAGAACTACACTCGCATCATGAAGGACAAGCTGATTGAAACTGTGAGTTGGACATGCAGACACACTCAGTCGCTGCACCAACATTTTCAACTCCTGTGTCCTTTTGTGGTCCTTCTAAATATACTGAATGTATGTGTATAACTCAGTGGTTAAACACGTCTTCCTCTGCCCCCCCAGCCGTGTCCTGATGTGTACTGGTTCCCAGTTTTCACTGAGCTGGCTTGTGACCACATTGTTGAAGAAATGGAGCACTTTGGGAAGTGGTCAGGAGGACGTAATGAGGTATGTTAGCATACAGTGTTTGTTTGTCCTGCTTCTTTTGGTTTGCATCATCAGTAATAATAAGTAGCTGTTACTGTTATTTGACGGCATTGTACATGTGCACATCACGCAGCAGCCTGAAGAACTGATCAGTGATGTTTGTTGTTGATGTTTAATGAGCTTTTTTTCTGTTTGTCAGGACACTAGAATCCAGGGTGGCTATGAGAATGTCCCCACGGTCGACATCCACATGAATCAGATCAACTATGAAAAGGAGTGGCACAAATTCTTGCTGGAGTACGTGGCGCCCATTACAGAGAAAATGTATCCTGGTTACTACACCAAGGTAAGACTTGTGAACACGTCAAGTCCAAACCGTCGCTGCCACACATTCTGATGAGATGAAAATAAGTCACATAATGTCTCCCGGTGATTCATACTAACAGGGACATCATCTGAAGATTAAGAAGAAGTTTTGCTTCCTGAAGTTATGACTGCTATAAACTGACTGACTCATGTAACCTACTTTGTGTCCAGACATTACAGTCGTGCTTGTACTGCATTTCCCAGAGTGCACCTGTCAGTCCAGTAAAGTAGCAAAGTGGGAGGAGTTATTTTGGGCATCTAGGGTTTCAAAAGCAGAGGTTGTCCTGCTGTCTAAACTCAGTTCAGTTTGTGCTTATATAGCAACACTCATTCAGACCAAAATTTTAATCTTCGCGCCGCTTTCCTTGCGTGAGTTTCATTGCTGGACTACTCGAGTGTTCACACAATGCAATGATCTGTGATTACTACAGGTGTATGAACAAAAAGTAATGTTTGTTGTGATTTAGTTTCAATAAACGGATCAAACTGATGCAGAAATAACTACAACATGATGCAGATTTGTTAAACGTATGAATTCATGCTTTCTCAGGTCTGTCAGCAACATGGCAGGACAACGACTTTTAAAACGTTGGTTTTCTGAATGGAGTTTTGATCAACAGCTGGTATCAAGTAACAAGACACATATTGTCTGAACTTACCAGGTAGTTCTACTTCCTCATTTACTTTCTTCCAAGCAATGTCCAGTTTTGTCAGGTTTTTAGATAAATATGGGTGCCCCAGAGCTCTGAACAACAGTGGAACCAAAAACACACAGCAGCACGTTGTGTGAAGATAAATCGTTTTAATCCCCAGAGCGTCCTCTGCTACGCCTGACGCCGCCCCCCCCCTCGCTTCGCGTTTGGTCTGAAAGCACAGTTACACGGAGAGCATGTTACAATCTCTTAATGGTCGTTTGGAACAGGAGGACTGATTACACCAAGCAAAACCTGTACTGACACCCAAACTCGTCCTTTAATGTGAAACCCACTCTGCTGCTCTAGAAGCTCAAATCTTTCCTTTGGGTTAGCTGCTGCTGAACGTAACAACCCTGCCGTGGTGGCTGCTAACGCTAACTAGCCCACATCTTCTTCCAGGTGGTGTCTGAGTGTTTGAAGGGGGGGAAATGCTCAATATGCTCATGTATTCAAATAATGGATCCAAAGTTACTAATAAAGAGTGGAAACAAACTCTGAGTGGTGGAATTACCAGCTCACACCAGCAAATTCAACATAAGGTTCTTTTCCACAGCAGTGAAGTCTCCACTCTGCTGGTTTATACAGAAATACTGTTTACATGCTCTGTTTATCTCTGCTGAGATACTGTCAAAGATGCTCAACACTTCCTGCACTGTTCCAAATTAAAAGCCTACCAGCAGAGGGAGGAATTTTACGCCCTTGAGCCGCTGGAAAGCTTCCAATTTGAAACCTCGGACCAGGAAATTTTGTTTCACTGACAGTAGCTGAACAGTATCCCTGTTAGAAAAGAGAGCGGGCGGTGGAAGTGTACATCACACTGAATGTATCAGGACCAAAGGTAAGCCTGTAGGAAGTTATGAGTTTGCATCAACAGCAAGTTAAAACAGCAGCAGGCAGAATATTCTTCCAGAACAGGAGACATTGGGAACAAAGACCCATCTCTAACAGAAACCGGGGTCAAAGAAACGTCGGCTTCTTTCAGCTCTCCATGTCGATTTGAGATTTTATTTGAGAACTTCTTTAAGACGAGCAGACAGCTGAGTGGTCTCTGGGTACTGGACATGAACTGGACTTTGGAAAGTACAGATGCAATCTGGTGAAGTTTGTGAATGTTATTAAGAGAACGTTTAGTTTGTGGACAACAGCGGAGCTCTCCACAGAGGAGGAGTTACAGATGCATTCAGAGCTGGTTTGGGTCTGAACTTGAGATTTAGATATCATCAGCCTTTATAAACGTTTATGACTCAGTTAACAAGGTGATCTCTCTGAAATGTTTTATAAATCATCAGAGGCTTTGTCTTTGACGTTTTCTGGACTATAAGTGAGTAATGTATTGTAACATGAGAGGCAGACGCCCTCTCATCGCTGCTCTGCTGACCAACATGTCTTCTCTCATCAGTGTGCCACGCCCTTGAACTTTGTGGTGAGGTACAAACCTGACGAGCAGCCCCTGCTCGCCCCTCACCACGACGCCTCCACTTTCACTATTAACATAGCTCTGAACAGCAAAGGCGTTGACTACCAGGTAAATGAGGAGCAGGTGGTGGGAGCTACAGGACGTGACCCTGCAGCCATTTTCTCTCTCTCTGCTTCTCTGCTCCCTCTCTGGAAGTGACCCGGGCTGATGCTTGTCTGTCCTGAGCAGGAGCTGCGAGGGCGTACATGTGAACTTTTCTATGCGAATGCCTGCATGACTTCTCTCTGTCTGTGTGTTTGCAGGCTCACTTTGACTTGGCCTTTGTAGTTAGGTATAAGCCAGACGAGCAGCCGTTTCTGAGACCGCACCACGACGCCTCCACATTCACTATAAACATTGCACTCAATCACAGGGGCCTTGATTACCAGGTGAGTGTGTTTGGAGGTTGGTAGAAGCCTGACATTTCCAACACCGAACATAGAGTAATGCATGCAACTGTTTATATTAGAGATGGGGAAATCAACCTTAAATCAGACTTTACATTGTGCTGTTCAGATGATACCTGTTGGTAAAAACACTGGCAGCTGTTTCCATAAACTGGAAAGCGTCACATGAAACAGTTCCAGTTGTATTTGAGTAAGTAACGAGATGTTATGTGGGTCCTACTGAGAGTTTGTGCAGGTTTTAACATGTCTGACTCGGTGGCTCAGTGTCAGCGTCCTGTCATGTTCAGGAGAGACTGGCTCACTTTTACTCCGTAAAACTCAAAAAGAAAAAGAAAAGAAGCGATATAAACATAAACATTTTTAAGGTGGATTTTCCCCACCACACAGAGAACATACCACACATCTTTTATTTCATGGGTCAGTCATTTCCTGGAGAGAACAAAGAAACCATACAGACAAGGAAAAGACAAGAACATATTTATTCTCTATGCATTTATTATCACAAGCTTTATTGGCAGTTTTCCATGTGTTTCCATTATTTTACTGTGGACGTCTTTCCAGGAAACTTTACAGACTCAGTGAAAAAACATTGAATGTTTTGGACCACAGAGAGACGTCCAGCTGCAGACATTAGTGTCCACATGAAGAGCGTAGATAAACAACGCTGTGTTTTCATAAAGCACGGTGCTGAAGTCAGGGTCGGATCACATTCCCAGCATGTACATCTACATCCTGCTGTTTCCTCGTGTGTCCTCTCTGTGTTTGTGAGTCTGTCTTCTTTGCATGACACAGAAAGCTGGAGCCTTGTTTTCATGGTAGCATCCATGTTGTCTCCCTGCATCCTCCACAGACCAGACTAAACAATCACCTGTTAGTCCACAGTGTTAATGGTTTATGCTGAATATATATAAGTATATCATCTCTATAATGTCTATATAATGTAGTATATATATAATAATATATATATATATATAATGTCTGTCACGTGTTCAGCTGTTGTGATTTTATGTGATCTTTAAAGGACAGTATATATCATATTTGATCACTGATAATATTCACTGATGACTATAAGCCATTAACCACAAATACACAAAATAAAGTCTCAAAATAATAGAATAACACTGCATGAATTAATAAAAGCAGATCAATTGCAGTGTAATATCTGTTTCCTCAGCATCAGCTGTCTTTTTAAAACTAATATTATTTTCATTCACTAATTTTTTGCTGTTGCTTCCACTTAAAGCTGCAATTTGTGGAAGTCAACTCGGGTTTTTCACAATAAAAGCCTACAAGGAAAGAGGGGGATTACGCCTACTGAGGTGCTTGAAGGTTTTTAATGTGAAATGTCTGTGCAGGAAGTGAAAGCAGTTTAACGGTGAGTGGAAGTGATTAGTGAAAGAGGACGTGTTCTGGGCACAGAGCTGATTGTGACATTAGTGCTGTGGAAGTAAACTTTATACTGAAATGATCAAGACAGCAGGTGAACACGAGTTATCTTCTGCCATCTCTAATATAAGCCGGCTTCATATGAGCAAAAAACAGCCTTTAAACTTTAAAGATTAAACTTTTTATCGAGATAACATTTTTGGCAATACCGTCCAGCCCTATCTAGTTGTAAGATCCTTAATTTGGTCATGGTCATGTTTCAGTCCAGGTTATGCAGCAGTTTTATAAGTTCCTGCAGTGGAAAAGGAAGTTAACTTGCTTGTGAACCTCCTCTAACCTCAGCTTTATACACTGCTCAAAAAAATAAAGGGAACACTAAAATACACATCCTAGATCTGAATGAATGAAATAATCTCATGAAATACTCCTTTCTTTACATAGTTGAATGTGCTGAAAACAAAATCACACAAAAATTATCAATGGAAATCAAATTTATCAACCCATGGAGGTCTGGATTTGGAGTCACACTCAAAATCAAAGTGGAAAACCACACTACAGGCCGATCCAACTTTGATGTAATGTACATCCTACAACGCCTGGGCGTGCTCCTGATGAGGTGGCAGATGGTCTCCTGAGGGATCTCCTCCCAGACCTGGAATAAAGCATCCGCCAACTCCTGGACAGTCTGTGGTGCAACATGGCGTTGGTGGATGGAGCGAGACATGATGTCCCAGATGTGCTCAATTGGATTCAGGTCTGGGGAACAGGCGGGCCGGTCCATAGCATCAATGCCTTCCTCTTGCAGGAACTGCTGACACACTCCAGCCACATGAGGTCTAGCATTGCCTTGCATTAGGAGGAACCCAGGGCCAACCGCACCAGCATATGGTCTCACAAGGGGTCTGAGGATCTCATCTCGGTACCTAATGGCAGTCAGGCTAGCTCTGGCGAGCACACGGAGGGCTGTGCGGCCCCCCAAAGAAATGCCACCCCACACCATTACTGACCCACCGCCGAACCGGTCATGCTGGAGGATGTTGCAGGCAGCAGAACGTTCTCCACGGCGTCTCCAGACTCTGTCACGTGTGTCACACGTGCTCAGTGTGAACCTGCTTTCATCTGTGAAGAGCACAGGGCGCCAGTGGCAAATTTACCAATCTTGGTGTTCTCTGGCAAATGCCAAACGTCCTGCACGGTGTTGGGCTGTAAGCACAACCCCCACCTGTGGACGTCGGGCCCTCGTACCACCCTCTTGGAGTCTGTTTCTGACCGTTTGAGCAGACACATGCACATTTGTGGCCTGCTGGAGGTCAGTTTGCAGGGCTCTGGCAGTGCTCCTCCTGCTCCTCCTTGCACAAAGGCGGAGGTAGCGGTCCTGCTGCTGGGTTCTTGCCCTCCTACGGCCTCCTCCACGTCCTGATGTACTGGCCTGTCTCCTGGTAGCGCCTCCATGCTCTGGACACTACGCTGACAGACACAGCAAACCTTCTTGCCACAGCTCGCATTGATGTGCCATCCTGGATGAGCTGCACTACCTGAACCACTTGTGTGGGTTGTAGACTCCGTCTCATGCTACCACTAGAGTGAAAGCACCGCCAGCATTCAAAAGTGACCAAAACATCAGCCAGGAAGCATAGGAACTGAGAAGTGGTCTGTGGTCACCACCTGCAGAACCACTCCACACCTGTTATCTATTCCATTTGCACAACAGCATGTGAAATTGATTGTCAATCAGTGTTGCTTCCTAAGTGGACAGTTTGATTTCACAGGAGTGTGATTGACTTGGAGTTACATTGTGATGTACAAGTGTTCCCTTTATTTTTTTGAGCAGTGTAAATGTGGGATGACAGGAAACATGGCTGAATCGAGCAGTCCTTCAGGAGTCCGATGGTAATGTGTGTTGTGTTTTCAGGGTGGTGGATGCAGGTTTCTTCGCTACGACTGCTCCATTCAGTCTCCTCGGAAAGGCTGGGCCCTCATGCACCCGGGCCGCCTCACCCACTACCACGAAGGCCTGCCGGTCACCAGTGGTGTCCGGTACATCGCCGTGTCCTTTGTGGATCCCTGAACTCCCAAAGACCGCATGCATCACCGACTTCTCCAGACCAACCAGGACACCCTGATCCTGCAGTGTCACAGCTGCTCGCTAGCTTTTCCTCTTTTCATCACTACATCTGTTCTTGTTCTTTTCATCCCCCTCTTTGCTTGTTTTAATGTCCAAAATGATTTTGTTTCTGTCTCACTGAAAGAATTACCTGCAGTGTGAAACATGAACACAGGTGCTCAGTGGAAGAACATGTGTTGGAGGAGAACTTGGTCCAAAGTAACACCTAACATGTTTAAAAGTGTTTGTGACCAGCAAACAGGCACCATAAGTTTCTCTAAGAAAATGGACGTGTTACTTTTGCAGGAAGCAAGGTCGGCCCAATACAATGTCGTGGCGAGCTGCGACAGCTGAGCGAAAGGAGACAGGGCGTCAAAGTCTCGTGTCCCATCAGGGGCAAGTTAAGTAAATTACTTTAGACCCAGTTCTCATTTAAATTCTGGAATAATGTTTTCCTCTTCCTGATGTGAATATGATGTCACCTGGATGTAGCAGTGTTCAGGCCGTGTACAAACGTCACCTCAGAGGTCACAGCTGTCTGATCACCAGCTGTAGGAGAAAAGGATGCCTGCCACCAGCTTCGGTGGTGCAGCTGCTGATCCATGTTTGGTTCTGGTCGGTCTGGAGTGTATGGTGTGGATCAATAATGCCTTGAGCTGGACTTCTCTCAGGAAACCACCAGTCCAGCATAAACTCTTCCTTCTTACATGTTGTATTTTTACTTCAGTTTCTGCTGTTCTCCAACTCTCTCTAAAGCCTGCTAACACTTATTTATTTTTTGTACATTTGACAGAAAGCAACACTCCCAGATTTATCTTGCATCTGCAATATAACTGCTATATAAATTTGTGAGATTCCATGTTGGAATCTGGGCTCACGGATTGGTCAGTTTGTAAAAGTGTAACATGCTCAGTTTCTGTCACTGCGCTTCAAACACAACCTGAATAAAACAGAACCCAACTGAAGAGCATCTGAACACTGGTTTAACGTCTTCATCTGACAATAATGGCCATAAAGATTAGTCTTACAAGCAACTGAACAACTGACATGTGATCACTACTGAACTCCTAATATTTGAATTGTATAAAACTGCCTATTTGACTTAGAAACTGCAGCATTCCTACAACTTTACTTACAATTCCTACAGAGTTTAGACCAATTCCATGTGGTGTGGGCCCAAGGCCGGCTGACTACTGGTCCAACGTATTTGAAATCCAAGTATAGAGAAAAACTAATTTGTGATCAACTCAATTGACGACAGACTGAACCTGGAGCCTGCAGATTAACCACAAATGGTTTCTCATCAGAACACAAGTTTGAGTTTTCCAAGTTTAAAAAGGTGCCTTTAAATAAACGTCCACCATTGTTAGGAAGATTTAAAAACTTTATTTTAAAAGTAAAAAGTTCTTAGTAAAAGTTATTATAAAGAGTAGGAGAAAGAATATACACATGGGGTTAAAATCTAAAGCTCAACATGGAACAGACAGTCATTTCAAATACAAGACAATCTATTTACATCTTTACAGCCAGTTTCCTCTCCACCGGCTGAAGGAGGACACAGTTCATGTCAGGGTTGCTGCCGAAAAATAGTAAACGGCAGGTTCCTAGAGAGCGGGCTGAGCCATCTACAGTCTGAAGCGGTCGGAGAAGTTGGGTGAGTGGGGGATGGTGAGAGGAACTTCACTCTTTTGACTGCAACAGGTTTGTAGTGCCTGATGGGCTGAGCCTTGTGAACCTGCAGGAGGAGAAGATGTCAGACTTTACCTCAGGCTGCAGACTCAACAAGCCTGCAGAGTCCACTCTGCCTCACCATATAGTTAGTCTGAAATCTTAAAGAGCAATTATACTCGCACCATAACTACTAACAGTCATCACACACTAATCTACGTGGCACCTGACAGATAAAACCAGCAGAAGCTGCTTATTTAAAGAGACTGTTTAAAGACCTGTCAGAAATAAACTGAGCAGATTGGAAGGTGAGGCCAATCGCAGGCTCTCACTCCGATTAAATGTTACACCGAGGGAGAGCTAGAGCAGCAGTTAGTCATCGAGGTATACCCTTATACCAGTTATGAGTTCACGGCTCATTGTGATGTGAGAACTGTGGCTATGAATGGGACAGGAGGGCACTTTCTGGATCAGGAATGAAGCAGTTCGTGCAGCATTGAGCAGCAGTCAGTGGTTAAATATTCAAACTGACTAACTCAGTCATGAATCTCCTTTTCAAAATAAAGTTACCTGTTCCTGCCGCAGTCTGGCGATCTCCTCTTCTCCTTCTGCACCTCCTCCCGTCTCTGCTGCTCCCATCATCGCCTGAGAGCCTCCTTCTCGCTGGCCAGCTGCTCTAACTCCTGCCGCTCCCGGGCACGGCGCTCCGTCGACAGCTCGAAGGCCTCACCACTGTAGAAGGAGGAATGCCTTCTGAGTGCAGTGGCAGACGGTGAAAACAGAATAGTGAGTGACA